CAGGGGCGGGCTGAATCCATTTATAACAATCACTACTGACAGTTATGAATAGATTCAGCCCGTTTCTGATGGCCGCCTCGAGACTCTGTACTGATGCCTTTAACCGTTCCGCCGTTCCAACCAGCCGACGTATCTCGCGTATCTCGCGGCACATGGCGCCGCGGGCGTTGATGGCGCATCTGTGCAACTCTTCCACCTGACCCAGCCGCAGGTTCAGGTGCGACACGGCTCCCCGCCCCCTAGGATAGGCAGACGTGAGCTCTGCCTGGAACCTGGCGAATGGCCTTCGCTGGCAGGAGGCCGCGATTCCAGAAACCATTCTCTGGAGGTACGCGTGCGCTGTGGCTGCCCCAGTCAATGCCATGCGCAGGGGTAGCGACCATTGTCGTCAGAACGGCGAAAAGTCCCCCCACGAGAATGAGTGGAAACCCGCACCATTCAAGAGATGAAGATGGGATCAGCGTTACCACCATCGTCCGTACCTGGATCGATCCCGCGACGCAGCGCGGGCTTCTGCTGAGGAGCAGACACCACGGCAGCACCAGCTCCACGATGTGGTTTACAACCACTTCCGCCTTGTGCCTGTTGGATGTCAGTTACAAACAAGGGCCGCGCGGGAAGCAGGGAGCGTGTCGGGGAGAGGGTACTTGGGCAAGACCAGGATTGGAACATGGGAATGCTGCTTGTGAGTGGATAGCATGACAACGAAAACGACGACCATCAACGCCAAAGCATCAAGGACACATGCTCCTTGCCAAATCAACGTCAACGAAACTGCCAAGCACCACCCACCACCACCACCAACAACAACAACAACAACAACAACAACAACGGCTTACCATTCGACGCTAGGCAGGTGATGCAGGTACCAGGAGAGCGGGTTGGGATTCGGCTGGGTCTGGTAGTGGTACTCCATGCACGTCAGGTCCCACCAGCAGGCGTCGCCCCGGACCTTGATCAGTCCCGCTCCAAGCTTTGCCGCATGCATGTATGCGTAGCAGCGTCAACGTGCGATGACGAGGGGAGGGGCGACGCGCCCAGGAAAAAAACACGAAAGGGGGGGCGGGGAAGAAATTATATTAGAATACGGAGCGCCCGCTTCGTCCCACGGAAGAAGTCATTCTTGCGGCGTGTGTCAGTAGGCGGCGCGACAGCAGTCTTACACTCCGTCCCACGTCCCCTTCAAGATTTTGCGGGCACCACGATTCTGTTGACCTTGCCGCTTGTTGGTGATAACTAATGATGCCACGTGTCTTCCGGGCGCTATTGCAAGAAAAATAACCAAGGTGTGACTGCAAAAAAATGGGAGCATATGTTCATACACCATCATCCATCCGAATAGAGGACGAAACGACGGTATCCAACACCAGCACACCACCACGCCGACGCACCGACCGCAACCGCTTCCCACTGCCGCGTACAACAACAACCGTTCAGGAAGCACGCAGAAAAGGCCACGGCAAGGATGCTCGGTGCTGGGTCAATCGCTGACACACAAGCACCATTTGTTGCCACGACTGCTACTATAACACACCGACGGCTTGGCTCACCATGATCCGAAACAGAAGCCAGCGGTAGCCCCACACGCAGACCGGTGAGGTGGGAGATCCCGCGGGGAACCGGGACAGGCTGAGCCACGGCACGAGGAACATGGCCAGGAAGCCCGTCTCCAGCAGCTGTGACTCCCACCCTGTGTGTGTGTTTGTGTGTGTGTGTTCATATTAGCATCGACCGCGGTAACCGGCTGACCGATGAAAAAATGTGTCGTTTAATAAATAGCGCTAACCGGCTGGCCAATGAAAATACGTCAGTCTCAGTGCGATTGAAAAGGTGTGTGTGTGTGTGATTATTTTTGCCGTTGCCCCATCCAAAAGGTACGCATGGTGCGTGCGTACGTGAGATCTCTGCGTATGTTAACTGAGGCTCTGACAAGTTTCCTACTTGCCGCAGAAGGGCCGAAGACGAAAACTACTTGGGGAAAAAATCTAGCAAAGAAACGGACGCCCTAGGGCGCGCACCCGAAGCACAAGCACCAGCCTGCCTCTGACACCAATCCAGTTGCCACCACCGCCAAAATCAACAACCCAAGGCAACAAACAACAACACCGAGGTTGTCAAACAACACCCACACCAGCACCGACAACCCACCCACAACGACAACAAGCGTCTCGTGCCCGAAGTACTTCGACGAAAACCGACAAGTCTCACCGAACGAATACCACGTCTGGCCCACGTTCACCAGGGAGTGGTAAAGCGCCCAGAGCAGAGCCATCGCCGGGAAATTCGCCGCCCCCCTCAAGGCCACAAAACACGAAACCGCCGCCCCGGTGGCGGCCGCCCACCACAGGTGCTCCGCCGTCGGCGGAGTGAACCAAAACACTGTGGGTACCTGTTTGTGTTCATCGCACCCCCCCGGGGAGAGGGAGCGGCCGGGCGAGGGAGGCAAGGATCGAGGGGACCATTGGACGATATTTTAGACGACACCAGACGGGGACACGGGGGCGAGGAGGGGGGGGGGGGGATCAAGCTCACTACACAGCAGCCCGAGGAGCAAATGCTCTTGGCCTGTCCCAGGAAAAAATGCTCTTGCTATTCATTGTATCTTAGCGGAGGGTGGTTCGATTGTTGAGCGTTGGGTGCTTGCCCTGCTTAGAATTCTGAAACATTCCGGCAGCAGCAGGGAGGGATTCAAGAACAGAGGGCGGACTCGCAAACACGAAGTCCGTCGCAGAGAAGGAGAAAAACGCCGAGAGAGGGCAACAGACATCGTACTTTACTTAGGCCACATTCGCAGAGATGTTACCAACTGGGAATATACAGCAGGAGCAGCACACACGGGTTCGAGTCGAGAGTTTGCCAATGACGGCGTGTCTACTGCTGTCCGTCCAAGTATTTATGCTAACGTCTACTATCGTCCAAGTGTTGTCAAGAAGCTGGTTCTCGTGGCCGGGTTGCAGGGTCCTCCCTCGCGTGATTCGTTCGGTTTTGCTCTGTCTGTCTGTCTGTCTGTGTGTGTGTCTCTCTCTCACCTTAAGCACCTTCTCCCAAGGCGTAAGGGCGGCGAAATGGTGCTCCAATCTGGACATAAAGCTTGTCGCAGGCAGCAGCCCGTCCTCGCCGAGCTACATGCATCATCAGTGCAGGACGTTACACACGCATGCAGAGTCGCAGACACGGCCGTGGATACCGGCAAACAGCAGTCGTGAACATCCCCCCCCACAGAGCAACAAAAAAACGCGGTGGAACATACGTGTGTTCGACTACATACGCATTCAATGCACTGCTGTTGTATGTGCATAGCAGTATCTTTCGTTTTCTGCGTTTGACTACTGCTTGTATGGATAGGTAATCTCTGCGAGAGAAGCATACTATGCATACAACGCGCCTGTTTATACAGAAGTAGGTGCAGTATCTTTCCCCTCTTGGCAAAATTCCACAAATTTGCGGAAGATCTTTCTCAGCGCATCAATGTGTCTGCCCTTGTTGTCCTTATGTCAACCGCATGTACCAAACGCTTTTGCTCAATGAGAGGACTTGAACCGACTCGAACGAGTCCGGTATCCAGCAGGTCTCCCTCGGCCCTCACTGCTGTAAGGCTTCAACGCATGCCTTCGAACGGGGCGGGTAGTGTTGTATGTGATGGGTGAACTTGTGTTCCCGTTCTTCTCATGCGCGATGTAGAGGAAACGTGCAACGGGCGTACAGGTGCGCAAGGACTTCACATTACGCGAAAGGTTCCGAGTCATCCAAGTGGAGAGTTCGGCTGGATTAACATTGACAGCCCTACCTACTGCTGTACGTCGCATGTAGGCCTGACCACTCTCTCAATCTCTCAATCTCACCAGTGCACCGTTATCCCGCAACGCCGAAAAAAACGCAGCCGCGTAGACAAATCCGAGGCATCGGAGGAAGACAATTCTAGTTAGCCAATATTGTCCGCGAAGAAGGTGGGTGTCCTCGACTCTTCCGTCAGGGGCCATGGCTTCTTTTCCCATGGGGCAGCCAGTGTACAGCAGCGGCAGTGGCAGAACTCAGAATCCCAGAACCAGTCGTGGGGGCACAACAGATGGTAATTAGCACCAACCCCATCTTATTGGAAACCCCCCTGTTGTGGCCAATCAGAGGCTGCCGCGAGCCAGCAAAAAAATGGTCACAGCAGGCGGGGCAGGGCAGAGGGAACAACTGACTGCCAAGCAGAGGGATAGGCAGAGCGGGGGGGGAGCGTGTAGATTACTTACTGGGTACATCCACATAGAGAGAGCAATGAGCCCCGCGGCGACGTGTCCGTGGTGGACGCGGTACTCTTCTCCGTCTTCGTCGGTGAGTGTCCGGGCAATGAAGCCGGGCCCCCCTCAGCGGATAGTGCCGTCGTCGCTGCTGCTCAGGGTGTTCAACGTCCTGCTGCTGCTCAGCTGTTCGCCGGTGGGCAGCATCACGGCCCACGGTGCTGTTGCAGGGGCGAAGGTGAGGGAGAGTGGGAACGCACAACGCCGTGTTTTGGGGGCATGTCTGCTGCTGTGTATACAAGAGAAATCCAGGAGGTGATCGTTTTTTTGGATTCGTCGGTTCGACTTTCGATGCGGAGAGACACACTACTCTTTTGGGAGGCAGTCCGAGCGTAACGCGTACTGCGGTACCCAGGTACTACCGGCATCCCCACGCGCGATACTGCTGGATATCGATGCCGCGTAAAACGTGGACAGCAACTCAGGAGGCATGGCTTCACGGCTTGGTCATGTTGTAGCCACGACACAATGTGTTCCCATTTTCGCTATCCCATGTTTGGAAACCACTAAATACACTGCGGACAGCGATGCTCGGCAACAGCCAATTACATACGTAAATTGTAAGTTCATTTTTATTGTGTACCTGTCTATGTAGACAGCATGTTGTACGTACAGCAGTAGACGTACCACTGGCGGTATTGACGCCGTGACATTTGTTCTTGTTTTGCTGGAACGAGACTTCTGCCTCAAACACATACACACCCAACTGCGCTTGTCTTCCGCCTGCGTGCGGTTCATATAGCAACAAAGCGTGAACTATTTACTACTGCTACATATTCACGCGTGCACGCGCAGTGTGGTCTTCATGTTATGTGGACTTGTATAGTCTAGTCGGTGTTTGTTGCCTGCGGCAAAGCCTGTTTGCTTGTAGCGCAATTGAAAGGCAGAGCGAGGAGGGGAGGATCGCTATGCGGCCGGATCCTGCCATCGCAATCAATGCAGGTTGTTGGCATTGTTATGTTTTGTTCCATCACTTTAATCAGCGCTCACACACACAGCATTTCTGCCGTGTATGCATAGGAGCTAGCTCCAATCGTGGTCGTCGCACAGGAGGGTTCCTCCCCTTGAGGTCCCCTGCCCATTGCGGTGCTTGTCTTCGATTTTTATCGCACAATTTACCTCGTGGTATGTATGCATATTAGTCAATTACAGGTGGACCTATGTACAAAGAGCTGCCCCCCCCCCCCCCGCATCACACGAAAATATGAGTGTCGTAAAGCTTGGTCGGGTTTGAATCTGGGGCTGGGTCGGGTGGAGGAGCTCCACGGATGCGCCATCAACGCCCGCGGCGCCATGTGCCGCGAGATACGCGAGATATGTCGGCTGGTCGGAACGGTGGAGTGGCTGACAGAATCAGTTTCGAATATCGG